TAAATTAGATGGCTGAAGAGAATATCAAATACAGAGCTAACCATGTAAAAGCAAAACAATGTAAAGAAAATCATAAATAAATTGAGTTGGAACTAATGCACTTACAAAACATGCAATAAGGAAGTATAATATTCAAAGGTTTCAAGTGGCCTGCAGTTAGAAACCTGCCCTGTAGCAAGATCTAAACTCTTATGCTTATTTTCCTGTCCATGAGTATTCACTTTAAGGTAGGTGGTTGGCACAGAGGAAGTATCTTGTTCTGATTACTTCTAATTCAAGTCTCCGAGTAGTTAAGACATTAATGTGCAAATTGATTTAGATTGTTTCGAGTAGTAACCAAGAATTTTCTTTTTTACTTTCATAGGAACATTTAATCATGTTCAATGGATTGACAATCATCATCATTCTCCAGTTTAATTATTTATTGACCATCTCTTCTGTTATCAGATGATTTTAATGAGTGGACTTAGTCAAAATGCTCTGGCAGAGCTGTCATCTGATAGAAACTATGATCGCATACCACATTTTTGCAATATGCTCCGATTTGCAGTTCTTAAAAAGAACAATTCTATGATGGCAATTGGAGGTCCTTGGGACCCTGTTGATGGTGGGGATCCATCAACTGATGATTCCTCTTTAATTCGCACGGCTCTGAGGTCTGTCCTCTAAATTATAACCTTGATCTGTTGAATTTATGATGTTATTGGATTGTACTGATATAGTTCCTTCTTTCAGATATGCAAAGGATGTGGTGGATCTTGATTTGAAAAAATGCCAGCATTGGAACCGTTTCCTTGAGGTAATCTATCTTAATTCTCCTTTATTTTTTATAGTTGCTTTAAACCTGTGAGTCTGAGATTAGGATTTGAATTTTAGTGTACATGAAACAGAATGCACTTGTTTGTTTTTATATCTTCCAGATGCAAGTCTAGTTATTCATGATAACAAAATTGACTACATGTATATCTGTTAATACATAATTTTATATCTTATATTATCTACTTGTTCAAAGGACTATGTCAATAATTTTATTGAATCTTTGTGTTTGTTCAGATCATTTTGAAAATAAACATATGGTTGCCGCATATATGATCTAACTGGCTAGCCTTGGAAATGATGTTTACCGTTTATTGTGCAAGGATTTTATTTGTATTACAGCCTTTGGTTTTAGGAGAATGGGTACTAATGATACATATAGGTGTCTTCCCTTCAGCTGACAGAATATATTCTGAATCCATCCATCCATCGTGAATGATGGTTACTTTCTTCATCTCTACCTTCTGGCACTTTTCTTCTACTACTGAGAATGGTTTCTCATTGGGCTTGGGTCTTCTCTCAAAAAGGCAGACTTAAAAAGCAAAGCCTAGTAACAGACATCTTGTATTTGAAAAGAGAGAAACATGTTCTCTTTAGACCAATTAAAAATGCTTTTATTTTGCATGATTTTTACTTTTTAAATGAAAGACAGCAGCTCAACTG